TGCTAGTTTGGAAAATGTTCTCTAAACCAAATATGTGCCGGAATCCCTTTTTCAAGAATTGTCATTTCTCTCAAAAGGTCGCTTGTCTACTCAGATGGCCTGAGCTTTTGGTTGCGATGAAAACGCAAGCATCAACTCCGGCTAATTATCCTCTATGCAGGTGTTTATTTTAATTTTTTTTAATTATTTTACTAAATTACAATATAGTGGAATGGATATTTCACCGGAACTCTTCAGCTCCACCGCCTCATGGGCATTCTTGGATCTCTATAAAGTTGGCTTATGGCCAAAGCACATGCAGACTCACGAGACCGGCAACTCATTCGTCTCCATTCATCATCGTCTTGATCTGGTTCAGGCTTTCGAATCAATCGGAGGCGCTGATGCACTTCTATATTTGATTGCTCAGGTACTTTCACTGTTGTTATATGCAAGCATCTTCCTCCCAAAACCTATATTATTTTACACATGAAAATGCCCTTAGAGGATATTTTCTCCATTTTTAAACGCTAATGTTTTGCTTTAATAAGACGATGTATAAAAGACGAAGGTTGATCTTCCCCCATTTGCTGTTGGTTGGTTTTACTCAGATCCCACCGAAAATGTACTAGGTCCGTGTCTGTCATATAGTCTGAGCTTTTTAGTTTGTACATTTTTGGTGCCGTAAATTGCCATTTCTGCAACTATCAATTTATGTCAAGAAAGCCAAAGAAAGAATAAAAACGCTCAAATCTAATCGTTTTCGTTTTAATGTTTCTCCCCTATTTTTTATTTTAGCATTCATTTACTCTCATTTTATGTTCTAGACTTTAATATAAATAAATGTATTTCCAAATAAATGCATTCTTTTTTCCTTGTTTCTTCTATTTCGATTAGATCCCAAGCAGTTCGATCATCTCTGCTGAACTAGTCTCTAATATATTTATTTATTTTCACTTGTGTTTATCGTTCAGCTTCTTGGGGAAATATATCCTGCCGGGACTAAGTCGGAGTCTACCACAGCTCCCAAGACAGGCTTGCCTAAGTCTCAACTTCCTCGAGCTTCACCACATCGTCTCTGGTGGTCGGCTCTGCGCCTCCTTTTTGCTACATCTCGCCACATGTTGCCAGAGCCACTACGCCGCTGCAAACTGGACGCCAATCTTCTTACAGTCTCAGGTGCAGAGCAGCGTACACCTCGACTCACCATCCCCCGGAACAGGCCACGAGTATCGGCTCGTTCAGGTCTGGGCAAACGGTGCTTCCCCTTGTCTGAAACCGATCAGTCCGAGTCTGAGTTGGGCGCAATTTCAACTGCTTTGGGTTCTTTGTCGCCAACCGGAGCGGTAGAATCGGAAACATCATTCAATCCCGCCTTGCCGACGCCAGTCTTCTCCCTGACGGTAGCATCCGCTTCGGATAATGTTTTCACTCCAGCAACAGGATTGTCAGCTCTTGAAATGGCCAAAAAAACTCGAAAAGCCTCTTCTGATTCTCAGACTTTATGCAACCAGTCTGTGAGCTCGCAACACTGTCTGTCTGACTCGCTCTATCGGACCTACGTCAACAGGCTTACCCAGCTTGAGCTTAATCAGACGAAGCGGCGACGGCGGAAACGATGGCGAAATAGGTGGTCTCGGTCTACAGTTGAAAAAAGATCACTCATTCTGGGAATGGATCTCGGTTTAACTCGTCTTGAATGCCTCTTGGCCTCTATTCTCCGATTGCCCTCGTTCGTGGCGGCTGTACGCAGTTCTCCAAAAGCGTGTGCTGAGGTTGCCTATTTATCTCTACTCATTTTATTTCATTGCTTAGTTAATTAATAAAAATCAAATATGGAAGCTACAGAGAATTATGTTGACATTTCGTTTTACATCAATTTAGCCTCTTTCAATATGGCATGTCATCTCTAATTTAAGTTCTCTGTACTAATACATAAAATGCCAAATTTCCTTTTTATTTAGTCTTTTTAAAATTTTATTCTACAATTATTTGACTAACTTTGAAATCAACTACTACACTGGTATGATGCAATATCGCTCTGCATGTTTCTTGTGGTCCCATATTTGTCGGATGTATAATTTTTATTTTTCTATTTCATAGTCTTTCTAATATATTAAAACTCGCTTGTCATTCATCATATTTTACTCTGAGCAACTTGGTTTTAAACTAAATTTCATTGTTTATGGTCACTTTATTCCAAATGCATCCATCCTCCTTATGGATCAAATTTCAATTTCAAATTTCATTGCTTTTTACTTTTCAGGTAATCTTTGATCATCTTTTCGAGACTTGTTGGATTTCCAGGCTCAATAACCCTCTACCTCCTGTTAGGATTGCTCATGGCGTAACCACCTTCTCTACTTCCGGCTCCTCTATCCAGCCAGATCCAGCTGATATTAGTCACTCTTATACAAACGGAACGGGCAGCCACGACAACTCTTTGCATAAAGATGAAGCCTATCAGGCTAGCGGAGTCGGTCATCGCATTTGGCTGCTTGTTGAACCCGGTCTCCTTCGAGCTTTGTTGCTTTACGCTCCTCCTGTTTTTTGGACGGTGCCCATTCCACGGTTAATTTGCGTATTTTACCTTATTTTTAAATATGAGCCTCTTTATTGCGTGGTTTTTTTATTCTGCTACTGCCAATATTTCCTTGAGCCAGATGAGATAGGATATTACAAATACCATTTATTTAGTTTACTTTTACCTTATTCACAAATTCCGTTTTGTTTCTAGTATTCATTAATATTGAAGATGATATGCTAGGAGAAAGTGCACATCCAATTTCTTATGCTTAAGCTGAACAACCTATATTGAGGGTTTTTTTATATAACCTCTAGTAAAGAATATCTAAGTACGATGTATCTTAAAATCTCGTAGATCTCATTGAGATATCAATTATTTAATGAATAATTAATATATAATAATTACTGTATGCATTCGTATTGTTTTTTATTATTAGAATAATTATTATGCAATTTGTGTTTAATATATATCCTATCTCCTTCGATCATCCTAACAATTCTAAAAAATGCATCTTTTCCAGACTAAAACAGGCTTTTTCGTATCCAGTATCGCAGCCCATTTCCTTGCTTGGAGGTATTTTTAATGCATTAGCTTGGCCTGGGTCGTTTACTCCCAGGACAAAAGTCGAACTCCAACTTGCAAATTGGTATCAACTCGATTCATTGCAACTAGTGCCTGCTGCAGCGACAAATTTTCGCGTAAGTTGATGTAAACTATCATGAAAAGCGTTGAGATTGCCGGATACATAAAATATGATTTGCATATTATTCATCTTTGTTTATTATGTTTATTATTTTATTTTTTATCCTCATATTTTGATAGTTTTTCCTCTATTTTAGCTAGTACTATCGTCAAGGGTATACGTTTTCCCTACAGACAAGGTTAAGTATATATTATTTTGTATTTGGTGGGCCTCTTCGGAAAAAAAACCCCTGAATTTAACGATCATCCCAGTTAAAACGAATTTTTAATCTTTTCTTGTTAGTTTTTAGGATAATTTAAAAGAATCATTTTTCAGGAACCCATTCTGGGTTCATAAATCTACATGCTACTATTTGGTGCAGTCCAAACCGGGAGAATTAACTCTTATAAAAATTATGAATCTTAACTTTTGTTGTTAACTCGTTTGTATTAATGAGATGTATATGAGTTACTCTATTTGTTTAAGTGATTAATGGAATTAATCCGCTTATTTACTAGGTAGTAGCATTCTCTATTTGGGCGGAAAATGCCCTCAAAAGAATTTGCCATGATCGAGAATATACGTAATTATTTTCATTTTCATATCACCGAACTACCCTCTAATTTTGATTCTTTTTTTTAAATTTCTATTGTATAGGAACTTTTTATTGAACGTTCTGTTTCTGGAAGTGACACTAGTATGCTTTCCTCACCGTCTATCTCAGCATCTTTGTCAGATTTGTCCCGACTGGTATATCTTTTCGCAACTAGATTTCATCAGTTGCATCAGAATATTTCTCAAAGTGGAACTAAACCACGCATAAAGATTGATTTAATAAATCCCGGCACGCAGATCGCTTCTGATAAGAAGGGAAGCAAGATTACCATAAACGTGGATGATAAGCACGCAACCAAAGAGAATCTTGAACGAAAACCCGTGCTCAGTCAAAAGATTCCTTCCAAATATGCACCCGAAATGTCTTCCCGGGGTTCTGGTTTTAATATTGTCTCCCTACCTTCCATTGTTGAAAATAGTAGCCGCTCTTCATCTTTTGTTTATCTAGACGAGCGAATTCCAACACCTTCAAAAATCCTATTCAACTCTGGAATATTGAGCCGCGATCTTGGGTAGGTCATTCTTTTCATACTGGCTACCGGTATTTCTGAGTTTAACTTTTCTGTTAGGTAAATAAATCTACTTTTGAAAATGCATTTTTTTACGCAAAAGTTGCACAAATTAGAATTTATGTGTTAATTATCACCAAACGATAACCCTCTTGTTGCCCAGATAAATATACATATATATATTTATTAATTAAATTTTAAGTAGAAGTAAATGTTGATATCCCCACCAAAATATGTTTTATTCCTATTCCTGAATACTTTTATTTAGTAGGAATGTTTTGTTAT